ATCTAAAACGTAATATTTTTAAATTTAGCTTTATTTGAAACAGAAGTTAATATGCAAAGGGACAAAACATGTCAGGGGTCTATTAATTGTGAGTCACAAGATATCTGGATCACCGTGTACATTATTTGAATCAGCAGCAGCCATGGTCAATCCACTGCTGTAATAAACTCGTTTAAAAACGTTTTTTTTTAAACAACGGTTTTATTAAAAACTTTGTTTTAACTCAGGGTCGAGAAGTACATCCATGGCGCCTGAGACACGCGGCGCCTGCGTTTTGTGCGAGCCGATTCCACAGTTTAGCGACCGCAGCGTTTTTGACCTACACATACAAATATATATCAATAATAATGCGTCCACACAAAATGTAAATTGCTTTAAAGTAGCGAATTAATTGATGCCGATTTTGATACAGGCATGCATTGTCACCGGATCTGAGCACGTGTGCAAAATGTGGAATTGATTGGACAACGGGAAGTGGACGAAATTTTGATGACAAGATTTGACCCAGACAAACAGAGGAATCAAGTTAAGTAAAACCTTTGAAAAAAGCCATCGCCAACAACCGCCACGCGCCACTGAGTGGCGGGGACGTCGTCACGGCGCCCGTGCCAGAACCTGGTGCACTTTGAGGCCACGTGGAGTGTCGAAGGCTCGATGCTGACTGGAGGTCACGAGAGAGTCCCAGGTGTCATGAGTTGACTTGGCTCCTTTGCTGTGTCGACTTGCTGCGGTTTAGTCGCCCGACGCTCTGCTCGTTGTTGTGAGCGTCGCTCCTCCGCTGTTGTTGGAGGGCGACTGCCTCCAAACGTCACAGTTGCGTCCTTCACAAAGATCTCCCATGTAGCCTTGAACAGACTGTTGAGGCAAGTGCTATGAGCAGGCACCTATGACGGCCGGCATGGCACACGTGGAGGTGAGTGGCCAGCACCATGCCCGACCGCCCTTGTCTCCAAAGTGGCAATGTTTACGCATCGCACTACGTACTAATTTTAGGCTGAGTCTACCTAGGGGAGGCCCAATACCGGCTCAGATCATAGTCGCTGGTATTGACCGCGAGCTGGAATCGACTCCGCGTGGCCGGGTTCACGAGCTGATGTCCCATCGGACGGGTTTCATTCTATCACTGTCACTCCCCGTCATCCTTCACCATCGTCCACCATCTCTCCTAGCGACACACGTGCTGCCCAAACCCACGTGCAGTTTGAGTAATTAACACGCACACGTTCTCTAGTCCGCGTTTTTGCCCGTCTTTAAACGTCATGGTTTTAGGTCAAGTTATGTTTAGGGCATTGTGGGATAATGGGAACCCAAGAGCAAATAGCAAGCCACATTATTTTATTTCGCTGCTATCTATATCTGGATGTTGTGGATAAGAGTCTGAGCCGGTACAACCACGTGGTTCGGGGATGACACGTGACCACTTGATGACCCAGGTGATGTGCTGCAGTGGTAATAGGATGATGGAGTTTGCGTGTCCTCCCTGTGGTCGCGTGGATTTTTCCCCGGGTCCTCCGGTTTTCCTCTGCACGTTTAGAATCAGCATCACGCGTTTAGAGTGGTTGGCTGGTATAAATGTCAACATGATAAACCACTTAATTGGGCTATCAATTGTGGCCAGGTCGCTTCTAAAAAATCGCGAAATAGCTCAGTGGGCCTTACTTGGTAAAATAAAAATAGTTTAGTTGAAAATATGTTCATGTACAGTACTGTATATGAAAATGTAAAAAAAATATAATATTTAAAAAGCTGTAGCAAGAGAAACAGAACTGATTTTTATTTACAGCCCTTTGTCAAACTACGTGGATAAAGGCCTCCCCCACACCGTTTTAGTCATGGGGGCTGTTTGACCATACTTCACCACACTGGTCACGATGGGTTGGTGAAGAGGTGCTGGTGGTAACCGAGCTGAAATAATCTTAAAGGATGGTGGTGAATTGTATATGAAGCAGGATTTAAGATGAGAACAGCGGGGCGATACGGTTACGTACATCAAATGCGACTTATTGTTTACATATTTTGTGGTGCATTGGTGTTTCTGTAACTTAAACTTAGTCATTGTACGATAATTATCAGTCTAAACTTGCACTGCTGGGAAATGTATTTTCACATCGACTTGTGTTTGCGCAATGTTTTAGACTTCTATGGAAGACATAATAGTTGTTTTGGTCTCATTGCTATTTGCTTCATCGCTGTAATTTTGTAATGTTGGTGACCCAGATCTGTCTTGCGAAGGAGACTCTATCCTGGTCTCTCGAGTTCTCTCGAATGATTAAACGACGAACTTGAAACCAGAACTGGATGTTCTCCAGCCAATTACTGTTTGACGCCTGGATTAAAAAAAAAACTGCTGTAAATGAAAGTGTTAAGCGTGCTGCTCATGCTGATGAAACAATGGAGTATTCCGTCATTGATAGGAATTTGATACGTACGTATTGTCACTGTTGTAATATATTGCAAGACGCTATGTAATTTAAAATATAGAGTACTATATATCATATTACGCTACATTGTACAAAGTGTCGTGTTAAAATAAAATTGGTTATGAATGTAATGTTTGATACGTATGTCAGGACACAACGTACCATTAAATACGAAATTACAATGAAAGCTTAAAATAAATGTAATGCTATCCGCATGACTTTTATACGAGATCACACATAACTTGGGGATAACTTCAAATCACCTGATAATTAAAGGTGTCCTAATGAGATAACGTGAAATGCAACCGTGTAATTATTTTCAACCTTGAAATTGCCTCCTGAAGCCACTGTTAGCGGAAGAGAGCTAAATATGCGGGTATTTGGCCTACTCTTCCATGCTGGATAAGACGTCTTGGAAGAGTTTGGAGTACCCACACTTTACCCCACTAGACACGACCTGCTGATCGACTAACTGCACGTAGCCATTTATTATATTATACTGCTGGGTGGACAGAACCGAAATAATCGAAGAAACTTGCACCACTGTTTCAACTGCCGCCGCATCTGTAGATCGAATCGAAGTGTCGACCTCTGGATTGTAAGTCGTGTGCTGACCCTGACGCCACGGGCAGCATCCCTAAATGTGTCCTAACGTGAATAAATGATGGTCATGCAGTTGAAGGAATGGTAATTCATAACCCTAAATAATACTCATACCATAGACTGATGGATGTTTCATTGCTTCAAAAAGAAAATGTATAAAATTAATATTCCTCAGCACACAGCTGGACAGCACATTGCTGGAACAACAAATAGTTGGGACGTTACCACTGCACTTGGCTCATAAGTCTCACTCCAGATTTCCTCAACAATGTCAACACTTCTCACTTCATGGCCAAGGTTAACACTGATGTGGTCAAACCACCGCCTTGACCAACGTAGCATGAGGAAGGCCTTTATCCTGCAGTGGCTTGACAAACAGTAGTGGATTTGATGCATGCATTATAGCACAGGATTCACGGACGTATACAGGTTATTCACGTCTTTAAAACTGTTAAGTGGGCTTGGGTAGGACACGTGACGAGATGAGACGATGGCCGGTGGTCAATAATAATGACAAAGTGGCATCCAAGGAACGGAACGAGTCCGATAAATTTTCGTCCACAGAGGAGATGGAGCGATTAAATCAGTTTATGTGCATGTACTAAGCGGATTAATACATCACATGATAGAGATTTGGGAAGCTTAGGGAGGCCTAAATCCAGCAGTGGGTTGATCATGGCCGATGACTGATTATATTACAACAGGCCGTGTGTATATATCTGCTTACACCATTAGCGTATTCAGTCGGCAACAGAAATTGATTTGTGACCGAGGAAGCGCGCCACTGTATCCGAGGATTAACAGATTAGCGTATTTGAAAACATTGTTTTACTGCAGAGGACGCACAATATTTTATCATGTCATATCCAATTCCAATTCAAAAGGTCAAAGATACGACGCAACTGCATGTAACTACAGCACAAACATAAACACTGACACGTACAAGCATTTCAATGGCATACTGGAGGCCTTTGAAATGCAAGCACGTGCTGCACAAGATGTCCATGCTATCACTAAACCGTGCCAGCTTTCTGTAGTGTGGGGGCATTTTTCGTCTTGCTGTGCCACTGACATACAACCATTTGTATACAATGTAGGCTGAAACTGAGATTCTATTCTACCGGCCATGCCCTATCGTTTTCTATACAGTACCGTAAGTTAAAGATAAATAACTTGAACTACACCAGCACAGTTCCGTGATTCCCCTTTTTGTTCTCACTCTCACATGAGTTATGGCCAATATGAATATTTGTGAAGTTGGTAATTAAAAAAAAAGAGCATTAGCTAAACAAACAAGTGTTTTTTTGGCGTATTTATATTGTATACCTGGGCCAATGGTATGGTGATGATCATACTACTGGCCCAGGTTCATTGAACCGTGCCATGGCTAACAACAGTGATGGGGGTGATGTCTGAACTGGTACTGGGCCCCCCGCCCCACTGACATGCCATAGCGAGGCCTTCATCCAGCAAGATTGACAAAGGGCTAAACATCTCATTATTGCTGTATTCTATACCCAATGCACACATGAAACGTCCATCATACAAAAAGAAACATAAAAAGTTAGGTAAAGATAATTAATTGCTCGTGCAACTGCAAGCGAAAGGGCCTCCATTCGTGGCACTTCTAGAGAGTGTCTCTAGAGGTAAATTTGGCCTACTCTTCCACTGGCTGGACGTCTTGGAATAGATGGGAGGATCCACATGTCACAGCACCACACAGGTCCTGTAGATTGACTGTGTTGAACCCATGTATACTGCTGGGTGTACAGCAGTATAAATATATTGACTGTGTTGAACCTATTTATACTGCTGGGTGGACAGAGGTGGAGAGGGAGGGATGGCATTTAAGAAACTTGCCTGTTGTTTAAACTGCCATGCCAAGAAATCGATTGGAACCGGCCACCTCTGTATTGCAAGTCCATTGCGAGAGTCTGCTGTAAATTGCGTCAGCTGAATGTAACACAGATGGAGTGTAAAAAAAAACAACACTCTTTTATAGCAATACAGCACATTGGTTTCTCAGTAAACGTTTCAAACTATTGCATGGAACTATGAATCATTTTACGTGGTTCCAACTTGAAAAACAATTTCCCTTGAAGGTAATGTGAATTCGTGAGTAGGGGCATTGTTGCGTTCCAAAAGGGTACAACAAGCAATAAGTGAAACAGAATGTACATAGATCATTATTAATACAAAACCAGGAAGTTGGCTAATTGAAATTTGGCCTCTTTCCAGGCAGCAACAGTTATCAGAATAACAATGCCAGTGTGGGCCCCTTTCTCACCAACATGTTTGAATTGCACCCAATGGCCACTTCGTAAGTGCTGTACACAGATGGTGTTCGGCACACTCAAGGAGGAAGTATGTTGTGCATGAATGACGAAATTTTGCAACGAGCAACATCCTAAGTTGAACACGCGTGTCAATCAACAACACACTACATTTGTATGCGTTTCAAATGATCCATGCCACGTGATCCGTTTGTTTACATATTCCTACTCATTTGCACAGACTCTTAAAACCCGTGCTGATGGCCAAAGGCATGCGTTGGTCCTGTACCTCAAATGTGCCTCCAAAATCCTTAAGCGTTGCTTTTTCTGATTTAAAATTCCCCGCGCATATATATGCTTTACACAAACATACATTGTGTGATTTAAAAATCTTTATCTAATATATATATTTTTTATGATGGTTCTGAGTATACTGTTTGAGCTGGATAAGTCGTAGATTTAGAACTCTCATGGCGCAATCGCACGCAGCGAAAATGTAAAGATTTGCGGAACATTGCACAGGTGGTATTCCGTTAGACACGGCTACCGAAAGCAAACATGCACACGTTTATTTGAAGTAGGTAACACAGTTATATAATTTGTTAAATGTTGGCTATAATGTCTATATGCCCATGAAATCAGTGCACACCTGTCTCTCTCAATATGCCGCAGTATTATTGAGCAAAGTCAACAAACGGGTGCGCTATTTCATAGCCTTCCTGTGAAAATGCAATCCTGCCCCCTGCAGTTTCAGTAATGTTACTACCTCACGTCGTCACTATGGTAGGAACGCAACACAGGATTCGAGCCGGGATAGTTATTCGATAGGTGACCACCATGCATAACAGGTGTTATAGACTGTAGGACCTACAGAGGTGGAAGAGTTGCCACCTGTCTGGAGTTTGACCTCGACAGTCTGGGAATTGGCATCTGTGTACAGGTGGCAGGAATTGATTTGCACTGAGCAATGTTGAGCTTTATCAGATAATACTGCAGGTCTGATAGACTATTCAAATGACAGCTGTTTTTTATTTTCTGCTGTAGAGCAACGGGTTCTCTCACAGTTATTTTTTGTTGTTGTATAATCACCACGTTTGTAATGAACCCTGCCTTTCACCAGAGATAAATGTTGTCTTCATAAAGGCATCACACAGTATGCACATCTAATTTCTTAAGACTCTTCAGATGACAGTAATTGAATGGAGAATGACATATTTCCTGTGACCAACATATCATATTCATAAGACAAAGATCCTCCGTATAGCCTTTAACAGACTGTAGGGCAAGTGCTGTTCTCGAGCACCTATGAAGGCTGGCACGGTGATGGGTTTGTGGATAGGGGTTCCCAGGACCCTTTCACTGCGGATTTGTAGCCGTGGCCGGGAATCCAACTCGGGTGCACAGCGTCGTGTGCAAGCCACAGCACCACCGCCCCCTCATGCAGAATGCATTGAATTGTCCAAAAGCCACACATTTGCAAACGACAGTATATTGTTGGCATGATTCAGCAAGTGCAGTTTAATGGAGCATGGTTATTGCAGGCACTTCCATTTTCCATTCACCAATTTTATGCTTACCTTTGTTTTAAATCGATGTTTGTACCCTGCTTACTTGTGGATTCGAGCTTTTGTTAAGGGCATTAGTCGGCTTTCAGCAAGGAACGCACTTAGGAAAAAAACATGTCTTGCTGTCATATGGACTCGTCAGCTGTTTTCCATGACGTGACATGTCACGCAGATGACTACCACCTCCCTTCAGTTGTCACAGGTCGTTCTGTCCCTTTGGAGATGCGAAGAATAATGTTGGAACAAGTTATAATAGCGGTCCCTGGAAAGCACGACATTTTAAATGGAGTGTGTTGCTAAGTAATACAAGCTTTAACAGATCTGTCAATAACACTACATTAAAAGGACAAAATATATATTTCAGGTGGCTTTTGGGCAATTGCCCTTCTTCATAGCACATCTAAAATTTGTTTGGCGACAATAGTTAACTTTAAACTGAACACATTTTTATCGGTAACGTTCGATAAATGCAATTCTTGCTTATAATTATTTGTGTAAAATAAAATTTAAGATAATTATGGTAATGAACGTTGCTTATACTTTTTTTACAGTGCAGTACTTGCTGAAATACCTGTTTGGCAGTAGTGAAAAGGATTCAGTTACAAGTGCTGATTAACAATGTCATGAATTAGGGCATTAAAGTTAATTCAGTGGCTCATTAAAACCCAAGCCAGATGTAAAGCATTACAAGCAAGCCATGATTTAGGATGCAAATAAAAGCAACCATACATATAATTAAACAGTTACATTTTCAGTGTCACAGCATACCAACATTGCAATCACGTAAACACTCATTAATTGGCTAACACCTTCAACAACAGAGGACCGCAGAACTTGGGGAGGAAATTTGGCACCAGCTCAGTGCCTGGCTGCCTTTCCTGCTTGCCTATCGCTCCTCGTGCCTCTTGACTCGTTCTCTCTCTTTAATAGCGAGTGAATACTGTGCGTTGGCGTATGACAAGTTGATTTATTTTTCACGCCGTATTTGTGAATTTAATAACGGATACAAATTGTTGAGTTTCCCTTCTCCTTCGCAAGCTTTTTCATATCTAAGCATATATTAGCCATTGTGATTCAAGTTCAAAAACATTGTTTTAAAATAATCTCCAAAATAAGCACGACATAATGATGTGATTGGTGGTGACATTTCAAATGCAGCAGGGTTTGAAATAAATCACATTTAAAAAGTAAAATAACATACAGCACACTTGTGAATGAAGTGAGTCACCAGATATAGTCCATGGGCCAGAGAAGAACCCAGTATCACCGAAAGTAGAAAAACTATAGACATTCCGATTTATAAACCCACTTATTTAAAAATTATTATCAAATCATTCACTGTTGTTGGCCACGTCACGAAATTAGAACTGCTGAAGTGGTGCCACCTCAGGTGATACGGACAAGTGAAATATCTCGTCTGGACTCAAGGACTAACACAAGTGAAATAATTTCCTGAATGATATTCTTTGGGTGGGTCACCACTAAAAAAATAGCTTCTTAATTCAATGGGCCTTACCTTAAATAAACCGACTGGCTTACGGTGGTTCAGTAAAACCCTGCAGCATTACGTTGTGTGTAAAGAGAAAGGCCATACGAAAACTCACACAGGGGGCATGCCACAGTCAGTGTTAAACACACTTTAAAGCAACTTTAATTAACAGAACTAGTAACGATTGCTTTCCTCTACGATTGCTTTCCTCTATCGGGCATTCTGCTCTAGATCTCATCATCCTCCAGTGCCTCCGCGCCCGCCGACGCCGCAAGGGGCTGGCTCAGTATCTCCGTGGGAAGATGGTCTTGATGTACGGCGCCAGTAGGCCATGCAGCTCACTCTTGCGCTCGAGGGCACGCTCGCTCTGGACAACGCGGGGAATGACTTCGTTTCTCCGCAGCAGAGCTATCTCCCTCTCCACTTTCGCCTTCATCACCTGAGCACACGAACACGCATGCGCGCGGACGATGAGTGGGTTTTGTTCGGATACGTTGCGGTTTATCTGATTGGTGACTGCAACAAAAACAAAGGGGCCGTCCATAAATGACGTCACGCGATTCTGGACGATTTTTGACCCCCCCCCCCCCCTCGTCACACGGCGTCACAAAAAGTCAGACCCCCCCCCCCTCAAATATGACGTCACAAAGCTCTGCCCCCCCCCCCCCCCAAAAAAACATATTTCCATTTTGAAAATAAAACATGCTACAAATCGCTTTAAACTATTGTCATTGTAGTGCGTATTGAATGTGGCGCTGCACTCTGATGTTGTAGGAGTGTTGTTATAACAATTAGTGTTATAACAATTAGTGTTATAACAATTCTATATTTATTTAAAGTTGCGCATTTTGATGTGACGTCAGATTTCTCACCCCCCCCCCCGTCACACATCGTCAGAAATGTCTGACCCCCCCCCCCCCTAGGTGCGTGACGTCATTTATGGACGGCCCCAAAGACAAATGTCCTTCCAAAAAAACGTTCACTCTACTCACGAACGGGTGAAAGGTGCAGCCCGTGCAATTCTTTGTCCACTCCACTGCTCGTGGAAGGGCTTCGAGAACTCCCCCAACCCTCTAAGAGGCTATTTTTGGTCCACCCTTCCACACGCTTGTCGAGGTGGGAGTATCCACACTTCACCCCCACCACACGCGTTTCGCCAAATCGCCTGTGGTGTGTGTACACGCTTATGCAGGGGTGCTTCAAAAAAATGTTAACACTTCCGAGAATTTGCAACATTGCCGCAAGAAATGTGCTGCTGCCTCCGGGCTCTGAAGACCACCTGGAGACGATTCTAGGCACGTGTTGACAATGATGGCGAACAAGTGGAGATTTTTTTAAGCTATTAACATTATGTTACAGTGTATTATCCGTTCTTTTTCCAGTAAAAACGATAGTCCCATATGAGTGTTAACGTTTTTTTAAGCACTCTTGTTCTGTTTGGTGGACAGAGGCGATGTGGTTTTATTGTTTCAAATGCCATACAAGGCGTCCAAATGAGCAACCTCGAATTGGATGAACGTTTATATGCCATTCATATTTTGTCAAATGATTGCGCTTAGGATGCAGTGCATATGTTTTTATTTGATAGGCTAATTATGATGGATTCCAACCAATCGCAATTATAATCACACGAATTTAAAAACCAATGCGTAAATCACTGCTCATGATGCCAATAGTGGCTATTAAATAAACATCCCACGTGGAAAAATACTGTTTACGAATACATTTTGATGATAATTATCTTATCTTTAGCTCTTCTGCATGGGAAACGAGCAATTTTTACTTCAGACTACAGCATGTTTGGAAATGTTAATTGGTCGTGGGAATTTTTTTTCATCGGAGCAGAAATCACAATGTAATTACTTGGTAAGAGCCTCAAATTACAGCAACAAATTTAATGTTGTCAAGTCGAATGAGGCATTAATATTTTAATTGTGTCATGCGATATTTAGCCGGTAATTGCCAGATAAGTGCCCCAAACTTACCATGGCCCGAACACCATTCACCTAGAGCTAGAAAATTAATGTAGAAATATCACGTGACACTTGTGTGTAATCAGCTGGAAATTCTAATCTTGCTGACTTGGTCACTGCAACCACCCTAATGAGTTTTTACAGGGCGATTAAAATGTAAATAATTCCCCTGATGCTGAGATGTTGTTTTAATTATTAAAAGGCTCCACACAAAACACTTTACACAGAAACGCATTGTTCTTATTCACGCGATACATCCACAGGCCCATGTGTGAGGGGGCAAATTAACCTTATGGCTCTCGCATAATGTCCGTGATGCAGTCATTTTTAGTCTGCTGATGGTCGGCGATGCGGCAATCGACTCATCTCGACGAGCTGTACACACGATGCACCAGTACGGTGCGTACGCGAGCGTTCAGGGTTTCGGCGAAATCGTCCTCGCTGCGTTTCGACATCGCGGAGTGTGGCACCACCGATTTCGGATTGATTGGTTACCCCAATCGCGGAGTGAAGTACACCCCTGGAAACAAAAGTGTCCCAGAAATAAAATATTTAATTGCCTCGGCAACTTTGTTTGGTACCCCGGAGTACCAAACAAAAAAGGATCAAATGTTGAGTTTGTGAAAAAGAGGATGTGGATGTCTGTTTTGCTGTGGGTGCAAAAGGTAAAACAGGACAGAGTAAATACTAGTGCCTTTACTTTTATTGCCGCAGACATGCTGCACTTTTACGACAATTATAAACGAGACATAAGCGATGATGGGTCGTTTCTGGGAAAGTCTGAAGCAGCTTAGGTCTTGTCCCAAACAGAAGATGTGTCTATGTTGTGTCTTTCTCTGCATGTGTGTCTGTCTGTGTGTGCCCGTGTCTGTGTTTTGTCTCTCTCTCTCAAATTTAGCAGTCTTTGGCAGAACGTAATCAACCAGGTAAGGTGCTGACTGTTTTGTTAGCCGACTCTCTGTGTTGTATTGCATTGTGTTTCTAAGTTCACTTGGTTTGTTTTCTACCTGATGACGATTGCTTGTGTTACAATTGAAACGGCGCATTCTATTATTTATTTATTTTATTTCTACGTGACTTTGCCGAAAGAACCAAAAGAGTAATTCCAGCAGTCACGAAAGCTTCAAATCAAGTTTGAAGATGTGAGTTTGGATCTCCCTTCTGCAGACCCACACCACTTCCACATCCCTTCCCAATTTATCTCCACGGATGCAATAGTACATTTTACTGGCTTAGCTCATGCCATGCCAAGCAATATGTTTATTGATGGTTATTTATCAATGTTTGCGATATTTGCTCACAAAAACATGGCCCTGAAGCTAAGCTATGCTAGAGATGTTGTTTCGTTTATAACCATCAAATACCTCGTTTGTTAGTTGTCCAATACATCAATATTACTCCCTGCAATCTTGATGCGTGTTTTTTTTTGTTATTGTTGCTGTGCTCACACACCACAGATCCCCATTGTAAAATAGCCGGGGAAACTGGATGAATGGGAATATCCGTGAAACAAATCGAATAAATTAAAAGACTCAAACTATTAACGGCATGTGTCTGTAAATGTTGTGGATTCACTCTTCAACACACCGGTGGGCTAAAGTAGTGAACTATTTGTCTTTTGTCAACGTGACACTTTTTTGCTGATTGGCTGTGTCGGGTGGTGGAGGGTTACGACACATTTATAAATAACGCGATCTAACCCAAAATAAATTTATTATGAATAATATTGGTCGCGAAAGCCTACGTGTTAAACTGGCATGTGTCTGTTCAATGTGTCTGTTGAATTGGATTTCCACGGTAAACTGGACTTTTATGGTAAACTGGACTTCCACGGTAAACTGGACTTTGATAGAAAACTGGACTCCAATGTTAAACTGGACTCGCATGGTATCGTCACATCTTTGCGAGGGAGGCCCTGGTGAAAACATTTCAGTTTACTGTATGTGATTTCTTACACGGATTGTCTCGTGTAGGCAGTCGCATGGCTATTTTACAAGAGGCAAAACAATTCAGAGAATGAGTACAGGGTCCTGTAGGAATGTTGCGCGCAACTAACAGACAAGGTATTTAACACAGGCCATAAACAAAATACACGCGAATCGACAAAAAAATGCAGACATAATAACACGAGAGCAAGAGGCACCAGACAAAAAAAAACAAGGTGCAGGTACAAGTAAGCTTTGTGGCCTGGAAAAAGTGAGCTGCATGGCCCGAGTTCAGCTCGCAGGCCCGCTGGTGGGAAAGGGTTCGGGCCACTGGGCCATTAATCGGATTGCAGCATTGTCGGCCTGCGTGCACGTTGTCTATTGTACACGGCGGTCCAGATGTCTTGTGATCCCCATTTAATTCTCTGAAACTTATTTTTTTAATATATATAATGTACTAATGGGTGTGAAAACAGAAATGAATAAGCAAAGGTAAAACAAAATGTTAGGGATCAATTAATTGGGGGTCACGAGACATCAGGACCACCCTGTACATGACAAAAAACATCTTTATACAGTACATGTGAAATTAGCAAACAGTCGCGTTTTAAAATCTCTGGCATTGTTTAATCAAAATATAAACTGTCTGAATTTGCAAACTAAACAATGACGAAATATATGTGACAGTATAGGTAGGCCTTAATTCAGTATATTTACAAAGGGATAAAAACGAATTTTAAAATATAAGTAACATTTTTGCATAATGTATGTAACTTTTTTTGCACAGTGCATAGCCAACCGTGCTAACCATGCGTATGTAATATGACCATCACTTTAGCTAGGTTTGTTTGGAAGATTAATCTGAATAAAGCATTATTCATATTGTTTTTGCAATTAATCTTATTTATGGAAGCAGCGGAATTATATTGGCCAAGGCTGGCCCAGAACGCACGCGGTTTGTACCTGGATGTATTTTGTCCTCGCGTGCGTCGCTCCGTGCGTGACGATGAGAATGGCAAGCGCTTCGCACAGGAAGGTGTGGGCATCTTCATAGAGGCCCGAGCCATAGCAGAGAGCGCCAGCCCTCACGAACGCATCCAGCAGCTGTGGAGACTTTGGGTGGCACACGTCACTGCAAACGCACATAGGTGAGCAACAGAGATAAAGTTGGCCTCCGTAGGCAAGAAGAGCTCTTGGTGTACAGCGGCTGGCATGGCGCACAGTAGGGTAGGGTGGTCAGCGCTATGCCATGCCGCCTTTGTATCCCCAGACTGCACTGGGCAAGGTACTCATTTTTAAAGGCTGATTCGAGCCCAGGGGAAGTCCACGCGAAGTTTATATACTAGCCGTAGATGATTTGCGTGAACAGGAATCAAACTCAAGTGGCAGGGTTAGTCGTGATATGTGAGTGACACACAGAGACACACACCGTGGAAATTAGGAATATAACAAAGCAGCTCAATTCTTCTGGCTGTCCACAACATTCTGTCAAGTTACTTAAAATTGTGGCTGATAATATACGTTTGCTATATATATTACACAGACCATATAATGGGAGATACAAGCAAATATTTCACACGTAAGACTCATTTGTCATGAGAATGATGGTGACACTCACTGACCCGCTGGGCAAGTGACAACTGAAGTGAAATCTGAGGTGATGTAAAACATTTTCGAGTGACCCATCATAATTTGTGTGTTTTACTATTAACAAATGGCAATGATATTCAATTGCATTAGGTTGCACAGAATTTATATTCAACAGCAAGTTTTTTTATGAGCTTCGTCGGGGTTGAGAGGTTGCGCTGTTGTTTGCGAACTGCCTCAGCTACGAACCAGGCGACCTAAGTTTGTTCCCTGGCCTACGGCCATAAGTGGCAAGTGACATCTCAACTGGTCCTGGGCCCCCCTTCACCAACCCACATTGACCAGCTCGGTGAAGTATGGTCAAGCAACCCCCATGAATTAATAAAGGAGTAAAAATTGAAGAGGGGTCAACATTATTATTATGTTAATATTTAAGTATTATTGTATACATAAGTCTGCTGTCAGCCTTCCACACACAAAATCTATTTGCTTAAATTGGCACATTGGCAGGATGCCAAGCAGGATGAGGAGGGAAAAAGGTAACCGTGACTGGGGAATATTATGTAGTGGGGAAAAACAACTTTGAAATGCTTTATATACTCGGAATAATTAATAAAACTGCTATAAAGCAAATCAAGGCAAAGCTGTATAAAGTACTACGTTTTTTTTTTCTAGAGCTTCATTTAAATAACTTTACCATTTAAAGCACTTCAAGTAGCCGGGGACAGGTGGGGTGTCGCAGGATGACACTGGGCACGTGGGACAGAATTCGTTCTAAAAGCGATCTCTTTCATTCTCTAGCCTGCCAAAACATGTTTCTCTAAAATTATATACTGTATTGAGTTAATGGCAAAACTAATCATTCATAAGTTATGTATAAGATGGGGGAAGAGGACATTGTGGACACTCTATAGATAGCATTCTCTAACAGAGCCATTGTCTGTGGATTATACGGTTCTCTGTCAGTGCAATGAGCCACATTTGAACATATCCCAGAGGTCCTAATTAGGTGATGATAATGATACACTTACAGGAGTGAAGCATACATGACTAATTGATATAACATCTAAATGATATTCCTAAATTTAATAACAAAACTTCTATGAACAAAGCAACACCGTGAGCTGTGCATCTCTTTAAATTGGCGGCAAGACTTAGCTCTCGGGAATATAACCCAGTAGGGGACAGCGTAGCCTAGAACGTTGGTTGAGGAAATAAGCTCATTAAATCACGAGAGAGGCAGAAGCATAACACGCAGTTGCCTTTACCTGTACGTGGCCTGGATACAAACAGATAAAATACGACTGCAATTTTCCAGCACCACACAAAGCTGGCATTGGTAAGATCACGTTCTGATTAATCCAGCAGTGGATCTTTATCCGATGATAATGATTTTATAATAATTATGGTTACATAATTATAAATATGATAATGATCTAATAATCATGATAGTTCATACTTTTTGTTTTTTTCGGTAAAGTCACGTAGGTAAAAAAAAAACAATAAAATAAATGAAAACTAAATTAAATCACTTACTATAATTATAATTTGTGGCGCTTTGTCAATTCGCTGCGAGATGAAGGCATCTACAAGCCATGTCATTCATGGGCGTTTTTTTCTTTAGCATACTTCACCATGCTGGTTAGTGCAGGTAGGTAAAGAGGGTCAATGTTTTTGTAATTTAAACTTGGTTCGTAATAGCATCAAAATGACTCCTCGTTCATGGAAATTGGTGAAGTTGCCTAAGTCTGGAATTCTCCTAACATACATGCATACAGATTAGTCGCTTATATAAAATACACCATACGTACATGAATGGTGCTCAAACTTTAAGACTGCCACACCCTAACTTATTGGTAGGTTTCATGTCCATTATCGTAGGCTAAATGCGTCCTGTAACGTGTCTATACGTGCCAGTTACATTTGTAGCATATGAACAAATCACCAGGATTGCACCAGATCTCATCAACATCTCGGAAGCTAAGCAGGCTTGAGCCTGGATAGTGCCTAGGATGGAAGACCACCGTGCATTATAAGAGGTGCTGCAGGCTGCTGCTGCTGCTGCTTCGGGGGGCTGCGTTGTCCGCAGAGGGCAGTGCCGCAAGGTCCACTGTGGTTCTGCAGTTGTATGCTTCCATCTCTATCCTCCCCGCCTTCACAATCCTGCACTGACCAGGCGTGGGGGGGGGGGGGGGGGGGTGGCTCACCCAGTAGTGCATTGGCAATAAGAGGCTGTACGTGTTCATGATGCCGGATGGATTACCGATAACCGGTCACAGCCCTGGCTGCGTAGATGGCAGCAATGCCGAGTTCCCGGTTGTGGGTGGCAGCCTCTGCCGCAGCGCTCAGCATCCTCAGGAGGTAGATGTTTGTGTCTGCGAGCACCGGCAGGTGTTTGTCCAGAGCCTCTTTACACAGGCTCCACACCTGTGGTCATGCAGAACAAAAACATGTATGTAGTATGGATGTATGTAAAAAAAAAATTCACACCGGAGGTGCGGAGGAAAAACATCAAACTGAACACAAAAAAAAATACAGACCAGCGATGCTCTAAACATTTTGAGTATGATTGTATGCCACCTCTTACAACCTGCTGCAGCAGTTGAAAAATTGGGACAGGTTCCATAAATCCCCTCCCCCCCCGCCCGCGTCCACCCGACAGTAGAAATACGTGTGCACCATAGTTAGCCAATTGTAAGGTTGCATGTGGTGGCGTAGACTGTGGATACTACCACCTCTTCCAAGACATTTGTCCGGCATGTCAGAGTAGGCCAAATGCCCCTTAGAAGGGCTTTCCAGAGACTCCATCTCTTGGAGGCGCCTGTTGCCAGCACTGGCATAAGCAAGTAATTGTAGTGCTGCAACTCTGTTTTTTTGTACTTTAACTTATATCAGGATTGGGGAACCTACAGCCCTACAGCCTGTGACCACATGAAGCCTACCTCTTTAACAGAGCCTGCAGATCATAGCCACACTGATCGGGTATGAGACGGGAATAGATCCGACCTGGAAATGGTAACTTTAGCCCACTCAAGTCACTGCAAGGGCGTCATTATTATTTCGGTGGACAGGCACATTCTTCAAGTTATTATTATTGGATAATGCGAAGGCGTGTGTTAATGTGTGGACAGCCACACGTATCGTATTTAACGTCCTACAAAGGTCTGTAGTTAAGAAAAGGTTCACACTTTTGTCTTTGGTCAATGTACATATTATTTTGCGATTAGCATATACATATGGTGTTTCAAATAAGTCGGGTCGTGCTTGTTATTAGTATATTCCAAAGAAATTGCTGAACTCGATTGTGCATGTACAGTGTTTTATGAGTACGGTGTTTTATGCACTTGAAGAGCTCATTAATTCAGAGAAAAATAGCATCGCCAAGGCACTTAAAACAGAGCAACGCAACGCAAAATATGCTCCATTGCTACGCACAATTAAAGCTCACGTTACACAGTGTGGCTCGCCATGAATTACAAAGCACCATTACATGAATTGACAGTCATGGTCAGTAACCTTTATTGTCTGGCATTTAGATTACCTCGTCCCAGTGCTTCTCTGCCAGGGCCATGTCAACCTTCCCAAGGGCATGTTTGGAGTCCTCCACGACTTGTTTGGCATCGATATCTTTTGACTGGAAACAACAAACAACACGAGCCTTTCAGGATTATGTGTCCTTGGCACGACTGCCAGCTTTAATGGAAAGCATGTTTTGCTTTATATTTTTCCAATATCTTTCAAATTGATGACCCTAAAAATCAAAAGCTGTGAATACTGAGCATTGTGACTTGCAAAATGTGGCAATTAGCTTTGAGGGTGACCCTGGCGTGGCGAGAGATGAAATTATAAAGGGAATTCAATAAATGGTCAACAGTCACACACAATAGTAAATGGGATTGTAAATTTGCCACGCAAATTACAATTCTTAGCTTAAAATGCATCAATGAATACAAAATCTGAAGTACATATTCCAGGTGAATTCGTCATAGGATCTCAGCAGCTGAGCAAAGAGAAGCCTGGGTCGTGCTTGGATGGGAGACCGCCATGCACACGCTGCTTGTCGTAAGGTAGCAGGGCAACTTGGTGGGACAGTGGAAGGCGGTGCACTTAAATCACTTGCTGTTCTGTACTTCCAAACTTCCACATCTGTGTTCCCTGCACCATCGCCAACTCGCACCGACCAGCCCGATGAAGTATTACCAAAATAACCCGAACAATCCACACGGCATGGGGGGGGCGGGGGGGGGACGACTCATCCTGAAAAACACGGATTAACAAAAGGTCCGGAAATTATATATCAGTGCACGAAAGTTTGGACAAGGCGTCGCTTATGATCATGTCTGGCGAGTTGCAAACCTTGGCTGCAGTGAGCAAAGTATCTTGCGTGTGATCCTGACAGTGGACACAGTTGCACTCGAAGAAATAGTCTCGGAGCAAGAAGGCTCGGCGCTCCTCCGCCAGACCGACAAAACTCAGGTAGGAGACGGTGAGCTCCTCGTCGGCGTTGATCGCTCGCATCACACGCAGCTCCGCCCTTTTGTCGAAGTGAAGTTAGAGGCAGGGAGACAGGGACAAAAAGAGTCTTTATAGTATATTTGCTTTTGATTATCACGCTTACCAAGTCGAATACATATTTTGTTACGAGGATCCTCCCAAGTTTTCAGGGGCTGTGTATGATTGCATTTTTTTGCGTGGCATATTGGGAACATGATGCCGCCACACAATGGGTTACTCTTGAGAATTATGTCACGGGATCTTTTAACGTCCACTGTGACGCAGGCGACGTGTATTTTTTTTACAGTTAACAGATCCGTGGTGTTAATCGTGGCGGCCACAGGATTCGAACCGTGAACCTCTGCACACAAGCGGCGAACGCGCAAATAATTTGTCAACCATAAAACATGAGAATAATTCTCCTGGCGAAGATAGTCTAGTAAAGGGCGTATTACTGTATCTATGGAAGACCAATGAATTACCGTATAGACGATGTGCTGGTAAAGTAACCATGACTTAGAAAAAAACCATGACCTCACATAAAAAAACAACCACGACCTCACATAAAATAGATGTCATGTTATTATACCACTACCACCAGCGCACTGAACAGCGTGGTGAAAATTTATCAAACGACCCCAAAGATAGAGAGTCACGAGGATGCCTTCATCCAGCAGTGGACTGAGGACTTTACATGAACATTACACTAATAACCACTAGACGGCAGCAGTGACCAGTCGGTGACAATTTATTTGACGATGCATTGGCAGCGGTGCACATAAGCAAAAAAGTAGCCAACGAAAATTTAAACACATTTGTAAATAACACTGTGGCCTTAAAAGGAAACATATTACAGGCATTGTTGCGAGCAATGGCCCTTGTTTATAGCACGTAAAATCACGTGCTATGAAGATGGAAATAAATGTATGTGCTTTGAAAAATTGCCATTGCCTCTAACATTACATTGTATATTCTATATTTTTCCTTTTAAGGCCAGAGCGCCATTGACACGTGTGTTGAGTTTAAGATGAGGTGGAAGGTCACCCATATGCAATGCAGCTTTCATTCATGGGGTAACCTTGATGAGGTCACAAGTAACTGGGTGCTGAAGGGCAAAGCCTAATGTGGGTTCAAGGTCATTCATTTTATGCAGTTTTATTCAAGATCATCATAAATAAATTCCCTGCCATTAGAATTGGCTGGTACGGGCTTGTGGGTAAAATGAAATGGATCTTCATTGGATAAATGAATCAAAAATCACAACAGGGTTGTCAAATATACCAATTCTCGGACATGTTAGAGGTAGTGTTTAAGAAACTGCATTCCAAATCCCAACACTTGCATTTACTAATAAACGGAATAAAGGTGTATATGCTAATTAACGTATATTTACGAATACATTTTATATCTACACATATATTTTAATTACATGAAATTTTAGTTGCATATTTTTGATAGTTAGTTGCAATAAGTACAGCCGTGCACTCTGTTTGTATATGGTTTTATCCAACCGTGTCCTAAAGAACAAAACGTTAATAGATATACTGTATTCACGCACTAATCACAAGCACAGCAACTTAAATACATAGGGATGCGATTTGTTTATTGATAGCTACATTGCAAGCTAATATTCTAACAAGTCATTAAGTACCTCCATCAGCTGACAAATACAATTGCAGCACGAAGTTTGCTCTACATTTAAATAGTCTGCTTCATTCCCTTCGTGATTGACGCCAAAACGTTTGGATAATTTGCGAGCGTGGATTTCAGTGTTCAATGTTGCATGAGACGCGAGATACAAAAACATAATTACGGATAATGTTTCACTCACCTCGCACTGGAGTGGAAGGTGGCTTTATTTGCTTGGCGGCTGCAAGACAGTTTAACGGACCATTTATGGAACATTCAATACATTGGGAGTCTGTGAATGCCTGAACCTTGTAGATGAAATCGCTCCGCAACAGGCCATACCTTTTATCCTGAAATTAGTCTCATGGTAGCCTGGTACGAGTAAGTCAATGTGGTTCACCCCGACATGCAGCTCATGATTCGATGATTTAACACGATTCAAGGCCGCTATTTATACCGAGAATCAATCTTCTAAATGTTTGAATGCAGCAACCGATATAGGTCATGTGAACTCATTACACATGACAATTATTCATTTTAAAACATCGATTTAATGCATGTAACCTGGGCGTATTTACATATTTTAATCGAATGGGATGCATTATTAAACTTCGAGTTTGTAATCATGCCTGAATTAAAAATATATATACCGTCGTGATATCTGAACACAGGAAGGCGCTTTCGCTTAACCGACGTGCACTGACCGACGTCTGGTGAAGCCTTCATCCAATCATTGATTTACATATCACTGTTCCATTCCCGTTTTTAATTGGCAGAAAAAAACAAAACCGAGTTTAGCTCCAAAGTGTGTTTTGTAGGAATTTTGACAGACAATTAAGAGAGGCATGTTTATACCGACACATCCTGAGCCGGCACTTTTTTACGTGATTGAATATATATCAATAAACATCTCCGTCTGTGTAATCACATCCCGCATCATTGTTAATGCAATGCTAGGCAACACATCATTGGGTAGGCAATTATATTTGTTGGCACGGAAACAGAGACATTAATAAACCACGCTTCCTCTCCATTTATTACCACTTAATGCAATGATTTGCAACAGGATTATAATTCAAGCGATTTCCAATGTGTGTGTGGTTTTTTCACCAATGACTGCATGCAACGTACTTTGGTACATACTGTGCGAGGAATACACACCCTTAACGAGCCATTTAACGTCCTCCATTCTCTTTAAAGCTCTATTATGTATATACCAATACCCGCCATGGTGACGTCACCACGGAGCCTGTGCCAGACCAGGTGCACTTTGAGGACCACATCGATGGCTCGCTGACAGGTCACGGGACATACCCAGGTGGCATGGGTTGACTGACTGAGATGACTGGCAGATGCACCACCTGTGCCCCCTATTGTGTTATGTACAGTGAGGGAAAAAAGTATTTGATCCCCTGCTGATTTTATACGTTTGCCCACTGACAAAGAAATGATCAGTCTATAATTTTAATGGTAGGTTTATTTGAACAGTGAGAGACAGAATAACAACAACAAAAATCAATAAATACGCATGTCAAAAATGTTATAAATTGATTTGCATTTTAATGAGGGAAATAAGTATTTGCCCCCCTCTCAATCAGAAAGATTTCTGGCTCCCAGGTGTCTTTTATACAGGTAACGAGCTGAGATTAGGAGCACACTCTTAAAGGGATGCTCCTAATCTCAGCTTGTTACCTGTGTAAAAGACACCTGTCCACAGAAGCAATCAATCAATCAGATTCCAAACTCTTCACCATGGCCAAGACTAAAAGAGCTCTCCAAGGATGTCAGGGACAAGATTGTAGACCTACACAAGGCTGGAATGGGCTACAAGACCATTTCCAAGCAGCTTGGTGAGAAGGTAACAACAGTTGGTGCGATTATTCGCAAATGGAAGAAACACAAAAGACCTGTCAATCTCCCTCGGCATGGGGCTCCATGCAAGATCTCGCCTCGTGGAGTTGCAATGATCATGAGAACGGTGAGGAATCAGCCCAGAACTACACGGGAGGATCTTGTCAATGATCTCAAGGCAGCTGGGACCATAGTCACCAAGAAAACAATTGGTAACACACTACGCCGTGAAGGACTGAAATCCTGCAGCACCCGCAAGGTCCCCCTGCTCAAGAAAGCAAATATACATGCTCGTCTGAAGTTTGCCAGTGAACATCTGAATGATTCAGAGGACAACTGGGTGAAAGTGTTGTGGTCAGATGAGACCAAAATGGAGCTTTTTGGCATCAACTCAACTCGCCGTGTTTGGAGGAGGAGGAATGCTGCCTATGACCCCAAGAACACCATCCCCACCGTAAAACATGGAGGTGCTTTGGGGGTGTTTTTCTGCTAAGGGGACAGGACAACTTCACCGCATCAAAGGGACGATGGACAGGGCCATGTACCATCAACTCTTGGGTGAGAACCTGCTTCCCTCAGCCAGGGCATTGAAAATGGGTCGTGGATGGGTATTCCAGCATAACAATGAGCTGGCACTTATCCAAACAAGATGGCTAACCAAATGCTATATTAATGTTGTACAGTAATTGATGATTGAACCGAGACCATAAACTCATAAACTCGAGAACCCAGTTTGATCATGGCCCGGCTGAAATGCAGATTCGAACCCAGGATCTTAGTGGCGCTGGCTAGTTGCTCAGACCCAAAGAGCCACCCGGTCAACTCTTACTTTCCGTTGTTGAAGGTCACGCAGCAATTGGGCCAGCAGTCGTGATTAAGCAGGCTGATGGTTGGAAAGAGGCCCACCCCCATGGCTTTGACACCACTCTGGTCTGTCAGGATAAGGCTGTTGAGGTTTACCTGCAATAAATAAACAACACGTCAACAGGGACTGAAATGCACACGTACGGCCCTTTTGTCCAATCCGATGTTGGGTGAGACTCTCACTGCTCTCGTCAAGGTGCTTAAACCATCACGCAAACTCCGGCCATCCTCGCAGCAGCAGCGGCTTTTTGCTAACAATCGAACAAAGACGATCAGCGCATCGCGCGCTTTCAGGTGCGCTTCTGCGGCCGTCTGGAACGCTCTTCCTTCCATTATTAGGAATCCCCTGGAGATGTGCATTTTGCTTGTGTTGTGATCGAAACGTCGTATTTTTTGTTATTTTCTTTGACTTTACCGAAAGACCCAAAGAATTTAAATAGAAAACTAATTTCTTTCGAACTGCTTTTTGTGTTTAGTCTGTTGTCCTTCCCCCGCACCTCAGATTAGCACGGTTGGTTACGTACGGTGCGAAAGAAGTTCAACATACATACAGCAGACAAGTCGTTGGGGTTGTTGGGTCATACTTCGCCACGATGGTCAGTGTGGTTTAGTGACGGCAGCGAGAATAGATGGCAATGTAGCCCCGTATCAGCCTATAGCAGCTGTATATGCACGGTGGTGACCCGACTAAGCGCTATCCATGCTCCATGCTGCTTAGTTTCTGAGATATCATGAAATCGGGTTATTTTGCTCATGGGCAATGACATTCATTCAAATAGTTTATTATATCCAGCACTGATTTAAACAACAAATGTAATGATAAATAGCATGAATACCTTAGTCTTGGGCTCACAAACAAGTAGGAACAATTGGCAAAAGCATTTGTTAAATAATCAAAACGCTAAAATGAAAACATGAGACTTAAGACGGCTATGCAGCAAGAATTTCACGATTTACCTCTTCCCAATTCCCATGATTAGATGAATAATCATGACTTGGGGGGTCACAATTCCCTGCCAGAACCGATCCCTTCGTGTCCCGTTTGCGTTCTCGCGAGTACCGACTTTCATTTAGTCCATCTCATTATCGCGTTTCTGTTCGCATTCGTCAACCATCTGCATTTAATGTCAAGGCATTGTTCATAATAAACGATTTCACGCGCGATTACACACGTGTACGATGAGTATATGAATGTGAATCCAATCAAAGAGTTATTTAAATTCGTACAGTGCGGTATTCATGCATTTTTTTTTAAAGTTGACTGTGTTTGCTAGGGTTCACGTAACCCGGGTGAATTTTCCCTTTACGAGCAGAGCTGAAGCAGCTTTGGTTCAACATGAAGTTTAACGCCGGCATGCAAAGGGGGCACGCGCGAGCGGCGTTATTTTGAGAGTGCCTTCTCTGTGCGCAACTTTGTCCCTGTCAATTTGTGAGCGCGCCCGTGAATCCCTGGAGCAGGTGAGTATCTCCCGCATTGCATGCAATCGATTCGCGAAACAGACGTGGGCTTCCTACGTTTGTAAAATGCTTTCGTGTCTCTTCCTCGAGTGGTGGCACTTTAACTCCTTCCCGTTCCGAGACGTCTGCAAGTTTGCAGGGTGGGTGTATCGTTCACCGCTGAATCCCAGAGCGCGCAAGCGGTTAGCATTAATTTTATTTAGAGAGGCATAGCGCCGCTGTTTTTAAAGACATTGTGCTCGCCGCAGAGAACTGTAGCGACACGACCGCACTCTGTGATAGCTGGCGCCAAACTGCGCCACACGCCTTCCCACATGGCCTTGTGGCAGCCTCGGTACTGGTAACGTTATTTTATTAGTTTTTCCTCCGGTTCCATTCCGATTCCGTGCACGTACATCATTTGCATTTCATCAGTACATGTACGTCGTCAGAACGGGAAAGGGTTTTAATAGCATTCTTACAATCTGAAGCATTTGCAGTATGAAGGCTGTGTCAAAGTGCTTTGATGCCGCGGGGCAGAACTGCAGGCACGCTGTCACGTCTCGCTCCATAGCTTGCCGTTCGTCGTTGCTCAGCCTCTCGATGTGTGTTTCCAGCCGATCTGGAGAAATGATTTCGCCCTCTGCTCCAAAAACACTGTCCTTAATCGCCCGCCTCAAAATACGGGCCACCAACCTATTTAAAAGGATAATGACAACAACAACAACACATTGTGAGATCATACCTCCGATGAGCGGGGTTTGGCTACGTACGGTGCGAAAGAAGTTCCATATACGTGCGCATACAGAAAGCAGCTCGCGCGCAGATGGATTGTAACATCTCAGGAACATGAGAGATGACGAGGGCTTGGTCAGACTTTCATCCAACAGTGGAATGATCGTGGCTCATGATAATGATTATGAAACGTAAGGTCCCAACATAAGGGAGGCCTACTTCTGTTTGTGCACAATTGCTAAAGCAATTCACGCGATGCAGCATGGTATGGCGACACATATCCGGCCGTCACAAATCTGACTCAGCGAAGTCGTTGTGCAACTTCTATGTTTCTGTGGGTGTTCACTATTGTATCCTTAATCTCGTGTACATTAAATTTTAAATCACGGTAAATAATTATCCCATGTTTAAATGCTATTTTCTCTTTTTGAAAATGTTGTCCGACCTGAGCACGTAAACACGACCTTTCAACATATTCGCCTATATCTCTCCAGTCTCCAGTAAGTCTGAAATGAGAGGTTGCTCTGCATCTCACATCTCGTTACTGGAACTACAATACCTCAGCAGTGCTACCTATACCAAGGCTGTGTGCGTGTGCGCTGCATACAGCAAGCAGGCTACGCAGGGGTTAATAACAGAGAACCCAGCCCACTTTGCCAAATGCGAAAGGCCCAATTCCTCATGACCTGGTGCGGCCACAACAGCTAATGGGAATTGTAAATTACTGATCAGTTATATAAGTAAATGTCTCACACCTGGCACTGGAAACATAAAAAGAGCTTATTTAATCCACTAAGTAGACAGTTCATTGGATACTCTACTGGCTAATATTAAAAATAGCATGCTGCATTGTACATGTGTACATGTACGTGCACATCCCATTAGTCAATGCACTGCTGGATGCTGGACGACCATGTCAGTAATGGGGGTTGTTTGATCATACTTCACCGCGCTGGTCCGTACGGGTTTTGTGAAGGTGGCAGGGAGCATAGATTTTGTAGCAGAGTACAGTACAACATAACAATGGATTTTTTTACACTGCCCTTTGCCAAGAATGCAACTCTGTAGCAACACCAGCATCCTAAAAACCTGTGTGTGCACGGTGGTCACGCAACATCCGAACACTATGCAGGCTCAACGCATGCTTAGCTTCCGAGATCTGACAAGATAGGGTGGGTGAAATCTGGGTAATTTGTTCAAAGGCACTGGATAATGTAACTGGCTTTTATATATATTTTTAATCTACATATTTTGAATCCACAGTATTATATATATGATTTATTCTGCCATGGTTATCGTAGCATAACTTTCAAATATAGGAATTGCTGCACAACGTTGAGTAAAGTGTTTGCGTTGTCTGTATTTAAGCCCGGTGCGTTTCAGAATGAGAATACTTACACTGGAGGAATCCGATGAGCTGTAATGCTCTTCTTCACAGATGCCCAGTAGGGCACGAATAACCTGTGTTTCCCTTTGCAGTGTGGATTAATGAAATCACATCGTGCAAATGTTCAAAGATTCTTCTACTCGGTTCGCCATGGCAACTCGGTGTCAAATGGACACGCGGAATGCTCCCAAATGCCTGGAGCATTATGAACAGCTGCGGCTACAATAAATGTAACGTCTCATCATCTGCGGCCACAATAAATGTGACGTCTCATCAGCTCTCCCTACCCCTGCCCCTCGCTAAAACAATTCAACATCGTTCATCACGATTGTTATTCTTGTGCGAGTTCGAAAATCGCAACGGTGTGCAACGTTTTCCGATTTTCCGACATCAAAGTAAATAAATGAGACGCGTTAACAGGGAAGGATATTTGCCTGCAGTAAGTGAAGATCCTGCTTCCAAAACAAAGGCGTAGTACAGGGTGGTCCAGATGTCTTGGAACCCCAAAATTAATTGACCCCTCACATTTGTGTTCCTTTGCATATTCATTTCTGTTTTAAATAAACCTTAATTTAAAAATATTAAGTTTTAGAGAATGAAATGGGGGTGGTCACAAGACATCTGAAGACATATCGTGGTGGTACGCGCCTCCGCGTCTATTCAACAACAATGAAGTAGTGTACATGCACCCTTTTTTTTATCAGCGAGCAGTTAAATGAACCCCTGCTTAAAGCCAATTTAAAATAACGTCGCTACAAGACGCGTATATGTCCATTTCTTCATATGCATAGTCGGCGAGAGCTACAGCAGAATGCACGACGGACAAAAGCAGATCGCATATCCTTGCTCATCCTGTTCAGCACTCGACCTGTGTCGACGTCTGTTGAACGTTGACTGCGTCGTGCGCCCCCATTATTGGGTTAGGGGCCGTCCATAAATGACGTCACGCGATTTGGACTATTTTTGACCCCCCCCCTTCGTCACACGACGTCACAAAAAGTCAGACCCCCCCTCAAATATGACGTCACAAAGCTCTGCCCCCCCCCAAAAAAAATTAAACATGCTTCAAATCGCTTTAAACTATTGTCATTGTAGTGTGTATTTAATGTGGCGCTGCACTCCTCTGATGTTGTAGGAGAAAATATTAATTAAAAAGTCTATTTAATTAAGTAGAACGTGTTGTCTATATTTATTTAAAGTTTCGCATTTTGATGTGACGTCACATTTCTCAAACCCCCCCCCCCCTCTCATCACACATCGTCACAAATGTCTGACCCCTCCCCTAGGTGCGTGACGTCATTTATGGACGGCCCCTTATTGCCCTGTTCCCAACCCCCCCAACCACCGGTCACCACAGTAAAGCTGCAGCGGTGTTGCTCCCTCCTCCTCCTCACTGCGAGTGCAGGAATGGGAATGCCAGCTTGGAAAGCCACCTCGCAGGTTTGAGATTCCCGGAGGCTTATGAATAGCTGCGCGCAATCCAACCAATGCGATGTCCCCCCCATTCACACTGCGACAACTGTACAGTCATAACAATTTTCCTAATCGTTTTGCAATTTTGAAAGTGCACACTTGTTGTGCCAATCTTAGAGAGAGAGAATGATTGAGAGGTGCGGGAAATACTTTTTTATATATATAGCGTCATTCGTGCTGATAGCATGAAGACGAACGAGTTTAAGTAACCTCGGTTCCAACGATGTGTGTTGTGATGGATCACTATAAGGAGAGATGAGATCAAGAATATGGGCTGGATGGCTGAAATGGCGAGAGATGACTGGTGTGGTGTGCGTTAAGAGGGTCCCAGTTTCGTTGAAGGGAAAAGTGTGTCGTGTATAGTAGTGTATAGTAGTGTATAGTGTAGTGCATAGTGTGGTGCATAGTGTAGTGGATAGTGCAGTGTATAGTACAAGACGGTGGTGAGGCCGGTGCTGTTGTATGGGGCCGAGTGCTGGGGCACAAGAAAGAGGGAGGACCAAGCTATGGCAGTCACAGAGGTGAGGATGTTGCTGTTTGATGTTTGGGGTTTAACAAGGAAGGACAAGAGGTGAGAAATGAAGAAGTGAGAGGAAGACTCAAGGTGGTATAAATCACAGATAAGATGAGAGAGAGAGAGAGAGAGAAACGACTGGTGTGGTTCGGTCATGTGGAGAGACAGCAGGAAAATGATGTGGGTCAGAAGGTGCAAGTGATGCAAGTGGAAGGAACGAGATCAAGAGGAAGGCAGAAGACGAGGTGGAGGTGGGGGGGGGATGTGGTACGATGGGACCACGGTGGCCCGAGAAGAGGAAAGATGGCGCAGGACAGCGCAGCGTGGAGAAGGTTGGCAAGGACAGCGGACACTCCCACATCAGTGGGACAAACCCGTGGAAGAAGAAAATCCATGCTAATAGCATCCCATAACGTGATACATTACATTAATTATATAGAAGGACCAAATCCAATATACAGCCACTATCAAGAAAATGAAACCGCTACTACCAAGCAAAACCTAAAATGAATAAACTAATTAAGAAACGGCACCAAAACAAAAAAAACAACAAAAAAGTTATCACAAAGAAATTGGTCCATTAGGTTTACACATCATAGACCACAATCTCAACTTCCCAACCAAGCCAGGAAACCTTTACAGGAGGGGCAAAAATCACAGATACGCGGGAAGGCAGCCAGACACGGCATCAACAATTCCCCAAGAGCTGTTGGTCCTAAAATGAGATGTTCTGGCCATTTACATTGATGAGAGTTCATACACGTGGGAGGAAACCGGAGTACCCAATCGCGCGTGCGGGTAACAATCAAAAGGGCACTGTGGTGGCGAGATGTTAACTCTCTCGCCTGGTATACAGGAGGTCGTGGGTTCGATCCCGATCCCGACCCTGATGCCTGTGTATTTGGAGTTTGCACGTTCTCCCTGTGGCCGCGTGGATTTTTTTCCGGGTCCTCCTGTGTTTCCCGACACATTTAGAAACATGCGTTTAGAGTATTTGGCTGCTGTAAATTTCCACATGATAAGCCACTTCGTTGAGTTATCATTTGTGGCCAGGTCGCTTTCTGACAAAGAGCTATATAGCTCAGTGGGACTTACCTGGTAAAATAACAACTTTGTTTGTTTAAAACCCCGTACAGATGGAAACCGATTGAAAACGGACTTACATTTATCATGCGCTGATAGCGTCACATGGGGCTCAGGGCGCCAGACGTCAAACGTCAAAAGCCAGATGCTTTCTTACCGAACGTTGTCCGTGGGCAGGCCGCAGCTCTGCATGTCGGCGCACTCCGAACTGTGCTGTGGCCAGCCTTCTTGTCGGCACGTCCGATCGCAGTAGAAGGCAAAGCCACAGCGACCACACTGCAGCAGGTTTTGGCCCGAGCGGTAGCAGCTGTGGCAAACCTGAGCAAGGTGGCTTAAAAACGCCAGCAGAGACAACACCAAGGCCGTGCCAATGGATTAAAGCAGAAGAAAACGCAACAGCATGTCAGGTGCGCTACGGGAGTAATCCATTTGCGGGTGATAAAGGCGCAGGCCTGCAAATGTGTGCGCATTGCACTGCTGGTGGGAGGGGCCTCCACCAGAGGTAGCTCTAGAGAGCCCCTCTGAAGGGTGTTTTGGCCAACCCTTGCACGCAGGCCAGACGTCTTGGAAGGGGTGGGAGTACCCACACTTTACCCCACCACACGTGACTTGCCGATCGACTAACTGTGGCCTATGTATTGTTGCCGCAGGGTGGACGGAGGAGTTTAAGGAAACTTGCACCGTTGTTTCATCCGCCGTAATGGACGGTCGAACCGGTGACCTCCAGTGTGCTGACCTACACCACGGCCTTGACATTTACAGGAGTAAAAGTGTAATATTTCAATACTTAATCACTGCATGAAAAAAAAATGGTTGATCGCCCATTCATTAAAAATGTGTCATTTTGGCGAAACAAATAAGATACAAAATGGTCACTCAGAAATGCAGTGTGGTTGCCATGCCTACGTGTTAAACTAGTTTTTCATACCTACACTGTATTAATAACAATTTCACATATGTTGTGGAACTGTGGCAGAGTGGTTATCGATCTGCCCTATGAACCAGGCAATCTGAGTTTGATTCCGGGCCACGGCTAACTTCAGTCACGAGCGACATAGAAAACCGATTCTGGCACACCTGCCACTAACCCGCAATGACCAGCGCGGTGAAGTATGGTGAAATAACTCTGCAAACCTGTACGGCATGGCGGAGGTTGTCATCCAGCAGAAGATTGTTAGGTAAGTGAAATTCAACAATGTACCTAGGTGTATCTCTTCGATGTGTTTTCGGGTTGCACCGTTTGTTCTTCAGCACGTTGTCCGACGTTTGGTTCCATGTGCCGGAAGCTTCTTCAGGAACTTGTAACCAGAAATTCAGTTCCTCAAAAAGCTCCCAGCATGCGAAGTGAAACGTTGGGATGTTGCTCTGCAGAGTGAGAGTGAGTGAGTGGCGTTTGTATGTTTTCTCCCTTTTCTCAAAAGTGAGAGTGAGTGCATGGAGTTTGTATGTTCTCCTGTTCTGCAGAGTGAGTGAGAGGAGTTTGTGGATCACAAGGCAGAGCTCTACAAGCACAACCTGAAAAAGGCTACGCGAGTGGTATCGGATAGATCGGATGGTGGTGGTCATGATGATGACAGTGATTTGCCACATACAGTACACACGTATTGTACCGTTCCAAACGCGACACGGTACCTGGCAACATACCTGTCAAATGCCACTGCAGCGTAAGGCTTTGCTGAGAATATGACGTCCCCGGTTCGGTAACTCCTTGTGGTCACCAAGCAGCGTCCTTTCCCCGGCAGCGTCACAATCTTTAGCCCTTCCAGAAACATGCCTATTCTCGCAATTAAGAAACCCTGTTTGTAAATAGCCCTAATGCTGCAACAAATGTTTATTTTTTTTAAAGTCACTCAACGAATAATGTTTATGTGCCTGTCTGCCCCCTTCGACGAAGCGGCGTTCTCGGTTTGCCTGTCGCGACAGAATGCCCAAGGCTTCGACAGCAAGGGCTCTATAGAGATAACAGCATCCGTATATTAAGCCAGCCACGCGCATTCAACACCATATTTAGAAGAGTCCTGCTATGGTGACCTACACAAGGGGCATGAAGTTGAAAGCGAGGTGGCCGCAGTGCTAGGCAACGCACAAAAAAGAGCCTAAGCCCCTGTCAGTATCACAATGTCTGCTATTTTCTTGTTAAGTTATGAGTGCAAATATCCCTCGGGCTTTAGGTACATTTTATTACTGGAAGACACTTCAGTTTGAATGTTGTGTTGATGTTAATTGTTATGATGTTATGTTTGGGCGCCACGTAGGCGAGGAGTTAACTATCTCGCCCGGTATACAGGAGGTCGTGGGTTCGATCCCGACCCTGACGCCTCTAAACATTTATAAACATGCGTTTAGAGTATTGGTTGCTATACATTTCCATTTGATAAGCCACATCGTTGAGCTATCATTTGTGGCCAGGTCGCTTCTGAAAAAAGATCTAGAAAGCTCAGTGGGTCTTACTTGGAAAAATAAAATATGAAAAAAATATATATGAAGAAAAACATTTCCATATTTTTTTTGCTAACAGACGTCCCTCATTTAGTAACACAGCACCTCACTCTTGTAAAGCAGTTGTATTTCAATATCACAATTGAGAGTGCCACGCGCTCCGCAGAGCAACACGGGAACATATCTGAAAACTGCGCGCGTCATTTAATAATGCATTACATTGTCTATGACTTGAAAGGGAATACGAACGCAGGCATATATCTCATTCATTTTAGATATGGTAAAACTAAACTGCCTTTTCGACAAAGGTAACTGGATACGTCCAAAGCAGGCATTGTGCGCGATTATAAACCAAGGTGAACCCTGGGCCCGGCCTGACGCTGGGCTTGGTGTTCTTCTCTCTCACACACACACACTAATGGCTCGCATTCTATTTTAGGCCAGAGAATGCGTGTTACCGAATAAAGCCCTTTGACTTTGCGATAACAGCAGGAGACGGGCACGTTTTATTGTTTCATTGTTTGGCTCGCCTACTTGTTGAGTACCGTGTGTATGGGTAACAGCGAGTGTCCGCCGCTTTGCTGAGGGCATTTCCGCGCCTGTGCGGGCCTTGAAAATAATTTGACCATACTTCGCCACGCTGGTCAGTGCGGGTTTTTGAAGGCAGAGAGAGGATATATGTGGAGTACAAGAATGGGGTTTGCTGCACTGCTCTCAACAACCCACTGCATGGCCCCGCAGCCCTCTGGCAGGTTTTAAAATCCTGTTTAGTTTCGGAGTTATGATAAGACCTGGTGCTCTCCAAGGTCATGTTTTTAGGTCATGTTAACATGTAGTCAAAAAGTTTTAACTGATACTTCACTTGCTGAAATGCCTTAATACATATTTAAACAGCGTTTCACCATAAAACTGACCACAAGGTTAAACTAATCCACACATATTGAGCACTAAGTTAAGACTGCATTGGTGGGCCAGCAAGCATTGCATTACTGTCCACCAGAAAAAAACGTGAGTGGAAACGATTACTGGGTTAATCTTCTGAAAATTATTTTAATGTTGTCATGAGCTGAATTTCAAAAGTCTCTATGTACGAGATGTGCATTTTTTGTTTTCACTACACTTGGTGAGGCTGCTATCGAGGAGTCGATTGATCGTGGCTGCTGGTGCTGCTGCCGATGACGCCTAACAGTACGCAGACCTGGTAGCACTACAGGAGAGTACGCGATTGACTTTAACATGCATTCCTTCATCTCCACCAGTGTCACCCTCCAGCGTTCCCCTGAACATTCAAGACTACACGATTGGTGTTATTAACTGAACACTGTTTTCATTCAGGGTGGCAGTGGTATAGGATGATTGGCATGGGCGCTGCTGCAAAAAAAACTAAATTGTCACCCTCCCTGTCCAATTCCGACCGCCCAGCCTTCATACCCTGACGTCTGGGCTTCTACAGCCCATGGGCCCCCCGGTGCAGTTGCCCCGCTTACATCAATGGTGGCCAACATGCGGGCCTGCGGGCCCGTGAGGCCCCTCGTGGTGACCTGGTCTAAGTGTGTCTCTGATGATTCGTGGGCTCATGATTAGCGAACAAGCACAATTTAAAGCTTGCGGCCCACCGAGGTGAAGGAGGTCCCACTAACTCGTCTGGGTTGCCCGTCACTGGCTCGTACGCTGGATAGCTATGCCACTGCAAGATGGGACTCCTGCTGCTGCAGCTGTTGCTGCTCAGTGAACATGTAATTTGTAATGATCGATGACTATAAATTATAAAGTTGCATTTGCCACTGTTGTCCTCTCATTACGAAGTCACGTTTATGAAATTGAATAAGCGTGTCGGAACTATTACTTCTAATAAATAATTAAAATACGGAAACCACTGCTGGATGAAGGACTCACCACACCATGGCAAGGAGGTTTATTGACCATACTTCATCATGCTGATCAATGCGGATTGTTCAACGGTGTGCCAAGATTATTTAAAAATATAATTTCTCGCTGTTGTTTGTGGTCGAGAAGAAAACTCAGGTCACCGGGTTCATAACGCAGTGTGCTCACCATTGCTCCACATTCGTTCCCCAACAATAATACTGAACAGTATCCACTTTTACGAACATAGAACCAAGAATATGAATCCCTGCAGTCACGAAAGCTTTAAATCAAAATTTAACCGCCTCTACGGGGAGGGTTTCCACATAACTTTGAGATCCTTCAACAAACTCCGGGATAAGAAGGCTCAGCTGATCGAGTCTCTCACCTTTCTGAAGAGATGCCGCGACTCTGGGGTAATACCAATCGCATTTACACTGACCTCTGCTGCTGTAACTTCTTCTAACGTAAAAAAAAACCGCCACTTTTTTCAAATTTTCTTGCTGTGGTTTTCACACCTGATGATGATTGCTTGTGTTGCAGTCGAAACGTCGTGAGAATTTTATTGTTTTATATTTTTTTATTTTATTGTTTCCCTTCTACATAACTTTACTGAAAGAACCAAGAATATAGTATGCTTTATATGCAACTTTCTGTATTAAACGAAATTGTCATGGACTGTATTTGACATTGTATTGGCATGTCTACAAGCTAATGATAACATTTTAAAGTGCTGTGTGTGTCTGGCATTAAAATTCCTTCTTGCCAGTGAGAGCTCATGCTGGTTTTTCTCTCTTACATGAGGGCATCTTAGCTTAACTTGCTCAACCATGGGAAAAGGGAGTTGAGAGGAAGACTTTCAGAAGATTAACCTGGTAATCTTTTCCACCCGTGTTATTTCTGGTATGCAATAATGCAAAGCTTGCTGGTACCAATGCAGCATCAACTGAGCACTCGGCGTGTTCTGCAATATGGTAATTTCACTTTAAAATCAGTTTTGTGGTCGAAAGTTGTTAAAATATACATTCAAGCATTTCACGGAGTGAATTAGGAATCTTGACTACGTGATGGCACATGCCTATAATCTTGACTACGTGATGGCACACGCCTGTAATCTTGACTACGTGATGGCAAACGCCAGTAATCCAGCACTGTGCAGGCAGCGAGAGTTGGCGGATCGCACAAATGTTGTGAAACTCCCTTCCCATGGGTGTCGAGGTGCCCTGGCTTTCCACAAGGCGGTAGAGCAAGTGTATCTCAATCTGCCCCATGTGCATGGGATAGAGTGTTGCCCCCTCACACGCGGTTTTTTTTAAATCTTGGTGCTGCGGTGTCCACCCATATGTAGAAACACTCTCATTGGCTGAAAACGTCTTGACATATACAGAGGACTGCAAAACTTTGGCAATTGTTGGTGCCGGCTCACCGCCTGGGCTGCTGCCTTCACGTTTGTCTGTGGTTCCTCACTGCCTCCGTGCGTTACACCATTGTAAAGCGTTGTGAGATGCAAATTTTCATGAATTGACGCTCTAAAAAAAAAAACTAGACTTGATCTCGGAAGATAAGCATGTTTGAACATGGCTAATGCTTGTATGGGTGACCACCATGCACAAGCAGGTTGCCATAGGGCTGCAGGGCTATGTAGTGGGCCATGAGGGGTAGTGTAGCAAATCCCACGGTTGTACTGTACTCTCCCTCGAGATATATACTCTCCCTGCCTTCACATGGTCACACAACCCTCTTCGTGGGGATGCCCCCAGCAGTAGATGGTCAAGATGCCTGCACGTGTAGATGTTACCCATCAAGTAGGCAAGCCAGATGTTAAAAATAAGTGCAGTCTCCTGCACTTATCGCGAAGTTAAGTGCTTAGTTTGGTCGCACGCATTCCTTGGCCTAAAATAGAATGCGAGCGCAGGGGTTGTTTTGACCATACTTCTCCACGCGATCCGTGTGGATGGGGCTACAGGGCCAGTTCAGATATCACTCGCCCCACACAAGCGCTGATCGTGGCTGCCAATCGAGCTCAGGTTACCGGATTCATAGCGCCGTGCGCTGATCACTGCGCCCAATTTCCTTCGTCATCCGATGAATATAGCAAATCCACGTACATTTTCACTTCTCTGCGCATCTGGTATACCACATGTAACACTTATCCGCACATACGATGACTTACATGCTCACTTATCCGCACATACGATGACTTACATGCTCACTTATCCGCACATCCGATGACTTACATGCTCACTTATCCGCACATCCGATGACTTACATGCTCACTTATCCGCACATACGATGACTTACATGCTCACTTATCCGCACATATGATGACTTACATGCTCACTTATCCGCACATCCGATGACTTACATGCTCACTTATCCGCACATACGATGACTCGTATGTTCACTTAGGGAACGTCCATAAATGACGTCACGCACCTAGGGGGAGGGGGGGGGTCAGACATTTGTGACGATATGTGACGAGGGGGGGGGGGTGAGAAATGTGACGTCACATCAAAATGCGCAACTTTAAATAAATATAGACAACACGTTCTACTTCATTAAATAGACGTTTTAATAAATGTTTTCTCCTACAACATCAGAGTGCAGCGCCACATTAAATACGCACTACAATGACAATAGTCTAAAGAGATTTGAAGCATGTTTTTTTTTGGGGGGGGTAGCAGAGCTTTGTGACGTCATATTTGAGGGGGGGGTCTGACTTTTTGTGACGCCGTGTGACGAGGGGGGGGGGGTCAAAAAATCGTCCAAAATCTCGTGACGTCATTTATGGACGGCCCCTTATCCACACATCCGATAACTGACACGCTCACTTATCCGCACATCCGAAAACTCTGACGCTCACTCATCCGCATATTCATTTATCCGCACTCCCTTCTGGCTGATGTCACCTCCCCCCCCCCACCCTCACCCCACCCCGACAACCCCCCACCGACAATCGGTGCACTTAATCGAGCGCCGAGCCAATTCACCCCAAGGGCGTGGGGTGGAAGCCTCTTGCC